CGGTAATAGTTGAATTTCATTTTGGAAAATCAAATTGAAAAAAATTGAACGTTTTTCTTTTCTTGTTGACTTGAAAATGTAAATTCTTCTTTTTTTCTTTCTATTTGAAAAAATTATCCGGGAAAATACTTATTTTTTTCTGGAAAATTTATTCATTCAGAATTTTTCCCTTGAATTTCAATGATATAATCATACACATCGTTGACAGCGACCAACAACAACAACAACAAACACCGAATTTGTATCAATCCACTTGGATTCTCGATTCATTTGAATTTTTTTCTCTTTTTTTTTGTCTTGTTAATCGATTTGAAGAAAAATTTTTTCTTTGCTTGATAATAGGTTATAGTAGTAAGAGATTGGTTGAATACTTGATGTAACGATAACTTGTCAATTCAATTTGGGATTTTCATCTGAGAAAAAAAAAGCAATAAATGTTTCAAATTCAGTACATACATCATCTTGGTCGAAATTTCTTTCGAAATTGTAAATCTCGGGAATTTTTTCTCTTCATTTTTTTCTTTTATTTCTGTTTTTGAAAGTAGAAAATCTTACAATGTCTGTGTGTGTGTTTGTTTTCATTGGTTGAATGGGTGGATAAGTACAAAAATAAACATTTGTAATACCAAATCAATTGTCGTTTGGAAACGTTAAGCGAAATATTCTGTTATTTTCATGTTTTCAATGAGTTGTTTGCTTGTTTGTTGCACCACTTTTGTGTTATGTTTTCGTCGTCGTCGTCGTCTTTTATTAACACGCCATTTTCTCGTATTGTAAATCTTTTTCAGCTTTCAGTTTTGTCACATTATTGGATTGTTTTTTTTCCTGTAGAAAGAATGCAAACAAAACAAAACAAAAAAACGAAATTAGAAACAAAAATTGATAATTCCAATCGATTAACTTTGTTGATAATAACGAGACGAATCAAACAAATTCATTTCTTTCATTATGTTTCAAAAATGGTCAAATTATTTTGGTTTTTTTTCCAAAGATTTTGTTCTTCAATTCCCAGGAATTTTTTTCCAGAATGATTCTAGAATTGGATACATATTTTTTCTTCCCCGTCCAAAATAATCAACCGTTCAATAATGATGATCATCATTTTTCGATTTTTTTTAGTTCATTGATGTTTTGTTTCTCGAAATTATTTTCCCATCATCATCATCATTTAGTACAATCATCATCATCAGAGTTTATTATTCTTTCAATTCTTAAATACACTTCTATCCGCATCCATTCTTCTTTTTTTTCCGTATAGAATTTTCGATAATTTTTATTTGTTTTTTACCCATTTTTTATTCCGGTTCGTAGAATTTAATGTAATAATATTATTATGTCTCAAACACCCACACTCACTTATTCCAAAAAAAACGGGAGGTTACAAAAAAGGCGGGAAAGAATATTCTTGTTTTATCAACAACAACAACAAAAAAAAAAATTTTCAATTTCAGAAGAAGAAGGAAAAAAAAATATATCAATATGATTCGATCTATTTTAACCGTATAGGTCTATTTGTGTGTTTGGTTGTGTATTTCTTCGTTACGCTAAATTAAATACGTCACTTTTTGTTTCGTTTCGTTTCAATTTTTGTTTCTAAAAACACTTTATTCTTTATTCTTTTTTTTCTCCTATTATTAAGTTCAAAGATGATAATACTGAAATACAAATAATAATAATCATAAACAGAGCAATTCATTTAATTTTCGTTTTGTTTTTGACTATGGATGTTGCACAATACATTTTCATGTACCCCTATCGATTCTTTAGTAAGAATATTCTTTTTCTTTCTGTGTTTGAAACCAACTTATCCATACTATTTTTCGTTGTTATCGATGGCCGATTGATTTGAACATCATCATCAAACCCGGTAGTAATCGAATGTTTATGTTCGATTTTCAATTCTTTTTTTGTTTGTTTGTTGCGATTTTCATTGTGAAAGTCAAAGGAATATATTTTTTTCGCATTATTTTTTTTCCTGGATACTCAGTAAAAACAATGAACATGTAAGAAAAAATAATTTCTTGTTTGGACACCAGATGTGAATGAATCTTGTCCAAATCGGATGATAAATAAATAGATTTTTGTTTTTCTCCTTGAAATTCGATCTTATGTTTATCGGTTTCTCTTTCTCTCTCTCACGAGCATATCAAATTCGTTGTTATTTTCGAAAATCAATTTTATTTAACAAAATAGCGAACAAAAATTCTGTTTTCTGAATTCAAGAATCAAGAATTTCTTTATAATAAAAAAAAAATCATTCAAATATTTGTGATTGGCAAACAAAATGTTTGCTATGAATATAAACTAATAATTTTTTTCTTTCTTTTAAACATTTGATTCCGGTATTATTTACTTGAAATTGTTTTGTTTTCTTCATTCATTCCTGAATCTGATGCTTCAGGCTTTCAGGAGTGAAAATGAATATTTTTTTTCTGGGCAAATTTTTGTTGAATTCTCAAAAATTCTGTTATTGTTTTCCACCTTTTTAATCACAAATTCGGCAAACAAATTCAGGTCGAAAAATTTTATCTAAAAATAAACATCCGTTTAAATATAAAAAACAAAAATGAAATTAATCAAGTTAATTGAATTTTTTTCTTTGTTTCATAATTGACTAGACTGAACTTTTTTTAACAAGCAAAAGAAAAAAAACAAACAAATTCCAACATTTCATTCATAATTTTTTTTTGGAATTTCTTGATGTTTATCCATCCAGGTGAAAAAGAAAACATGCCGAATACTTTGTTTTGGGAATGAAAAGAATGTTGCCTATGTAAAATTGGTTTATTTAAAATGAAAAAAGAATTTTTCGTTTGCAATGTTTATCATTAATTGTGTCAAATCACATCAATGAAAATGTTAAGATTTTGGATATTTGAAAGTTTGTTTTTACAATTCCCAAAACAATAATTATATCCATGTTTTATTTTGTTATTCTTTTGATTTTGTACTTTCTATTTATTATTATTATTATTATTCTCATTTAAAACGAATGTGTGATGAAAATTTTGATTTGAGCTAAATGGATGGAAGAAAAAGAAAACTCTTGATGACAAACATTATTATGATGATGATGATTTGTGTAAGTGGATTGAAAGAATTGTATTCAGGAAAATGTGAATGAAAATAAATAATAAAGTATAATGATGATGATAATAATAGAAAAAGAAAGAAAGAAATATATCAATATTTACTAAGAAGAAGTACTTATTTTCGGAAAAATTATAAATTCTTCAAGAATGTTTTTTCTTTTCTTTTTTCTTCACTCAGGAAGAAAAGTAGATTTTTCATTAGAGCATCAGCACATTATTATATATGATTCTTGATGATGATGATGATAATAATCACGGTAAAAACACAATAAATAATAGGATGATTATTAAAAGAAGTATCATCATTATAATTATCATTCAGAAATTTTATCATAATCTAAAATTATAATGAAAACTATGATGATGATGATGATGACGATTCTATAAAATGGAATGAATTTCATTTGATTTTCTATTTACTGTTGTTTTATTCTATGATTTTTTTCGTTTTTCCTCAAGATGACATCGGAAATTGGTGGAGTTACATTTATTTTTTTGGTTGTTTCCCGAAGACAATCGATTATTTTGTATCGATTGTAATAATCGATTAATCGTTTATTACTTAATTTTTTTTCCTTCAAAAAAAAGACAATTTCTTTTGTGTCAATCTTTTTCCATCTTGATCTTTTCTTTTTGGTTTCGTGTATCAAACCACCATCAGTCAGATAAATTAAAGTGATGGACGAATTATTTTGATATGTTTTGTGTGAAACAAATCGAATTGGAATTCAATTTGATCGAATTTATTTTTATTTTTTTTTCTCATACCATCAATTTACCGCCAAATAAGAATTTTGTTTTTAAACGGTTTTTATTTTCCGTTTGTGTTTGTGTGTTATATACAACCGAGTGTAAAAAAAAGTTTCCTTTTTCTTTCGGCTATTTTGGATTAAAATTGATTGAAGCGAATTTTTCTTCTTAAAGTTTTCACTCGATCTTTTTTTTTTTTGATATTATACGACGTTTTGCTACAATTTTTTTTGGAATTGAAAGTGAACAAAAAAAAATAAAAATAACCAAACCGAGGAAAAAAATTTTCATCCGAAATTGTTCAATCTACTGGCTATAATTCAATTGAATATAATGTCGGGGATCCGGGTTATTTTTATTTTATTCGTTTCATTTCGTCTGTATTTTATTTTCTCCGATGATACAATCATCGACGACGAAAAAATGCTTGAATTAAAATGTGAAATGTTTGTATAACAAATGAATGGTCATTTTATGAATTGACACATTGTGTACTTGGCAAGCAGCACAGGATATTTTCGTGCCAATATAATCATACAAGAATTAAAATTAACAACAACAACGGCAATCATCATCATTAAGCTTTTTGACCGACAACCAAATGATGGTTGATGCACAACATTTTTTGGAATGTTTTTTTGTTTCTTGTTCACTTGCTCTATACAATTTATGAGTTTGGATAAATTATGAAAAAGAATATTCTGCTGAAAAAACATTGATGAAATGATGTCTTTTTTTACCTTTCAATTCTAATTTAATTAAAAATAATACAAAATATTTTTCGATTCTGAATTTGTTTTTTAGCTTAATCAAAATTCAAGAAAATTCAATCAAATGTTAATGATGAAATTTTCAATAATATTTTAATATTTGGCCCATTCATCTTTTGATTTTCTGTTTCTCTATATCATCAAAGATCTGTATAATTTTGGATGCAACATGAAAAACATGATACAAAATGTTAGTTATTATTAGTTTTTTTTCGTCTGATGATTTCAAAGAATTTATTTAGAAATTGCAACGAAAATTGAATTCTTGAATGGTGGCACACAGAATAGAAATAGAATAGAATTCAATAGGATTTAAAGAAAGTTTTTGATTAGATTCTTCAACAAAATACGAAGTTTATTTTTTCAGAAAATGTTTTTTTAAATATTAAATATAAAATTTCAAAAAGTAGGAATTCATCTATTTATTCATTAACAAAAATACATTGACGATCGCATTTTTGGTGACATTTCAATGAATGAATCAAAATTATCCAAACAAGGTACACGATGTTTTGTATAATGAATTCTTGGTAATAATATACCATCACCACTATCGTTATTATTGTCGTTGTTGTTCGACGATGTGGTCAACGATAATGACGATGTTCCAACTGTTGTTGTCGATGTTGTTGTTGTTGTTGTTGTTGAAGTTGTTGTTGCTGGAAAATAATTAAGCATTTTGGCTGCATCTTGTTGTTGTTGATCATTATTATTGTTGTTGTAATTATTATTATTACGATTATTAGCCATTGATAACATCATTAATGATGTTGCTGCCTGAATATGTTCACGTGCACGAAATGCGGCTAAATGTGCATAGAAAACCGGTGTCGGTATAGATATTGAACGTGAACAACGTGCATAAAGATGACAAAGAACATTGGTAAAATTATGTATCTGATTAGCGGACATTTGATTTTCATCAATCAAAACACAATAATGTGATGGTCTTGATGTACCTTGAATGCCAGCATGTGAACAAAGATAAAAATCAAATCGTCTTGGATGTACAACATCAGTATTGACAACCGTACCGGGCGGTATATTAGCAAAACGTCCAACACCATCTTTACTATTATCCGGTATAAATCTTGAATGATGTCGTTTCTGTACGATAATAAATGTTAAACGAAATTTATGTCCCGGGCGATAATGTTCAAGTGTTTCCTTAATAAGAAGAATTTCTTCATTATAAACCACTTGAAATTGTCCTTCACTAACACCATCACGATAGAATATAATTTTATCCGGGAGCTGATTAGTTTCCATTTCATATGCACGTAATAAATCGATCAACATTTTATCCAATTCTTGTATGATTTCTTGACGAAAAAATTTCTGTATTTTTACAGATGATGTATACCGTGCAAATGATTGATCAATATTTGCAACCATTGCCGCAATTGATGGTAAATTTTTTTCCGATGGTGATGGATGTGCAACATCAACACCGATTGCCATTGTTTTACGATAATCATTCGATCGTTGTAATTTACCATAATCCAATGTTACATTTATACCACCTAATTTGGCATTAATTTTATGCAAAATATTTACGGCAATCGATTGATTAATACGTAGAACATTTGTTTGTCGCATACATTGTGTTACCATACCAAAATCAACATCACCAAATTTTTTTATAGCACTATGTTGCCATTCAGAATTACAGCCAATAAAAAATACTAGCTGTAATGGTGATTGTCCACCACCATTATTATAGGTATGTTTTAATTTTTGTAAAAAATCACCCAATGTTGCTATATCGAATTCATAATCCATACGTATGGGCATATCGATTGCCATACCTAATTGTTCACCATTGCGTATAAATGTTTCAAGAAATTTTTCCAACGTTGAATCATCAAAATGTAATAATTTTACTAAAATCCAACGTTTCAATATGATTGGTTGAAAAAATTTTCGATAACGCCATTTACCATTGGTCAATTTTATTGGTCGTTCATCACCTTCCAATAGTTTTGGTTGATCCAATACATTTGCACGTATTGTTATTGGTTGTGTTGCAATTTGAAAACCAAATTCTTTCAAATAATTATTTCTATCCGTTTGAATCAATTCATTAACACTTGAACGAATTTCTTCTAATCGTTCAAATGGATTTATTCCTGCTGCTTTTCGAATTAAATCAGATTTTTCTTTTATTGACAATTTTCTTGCCTTTTGATCGGCAATTATATGACAGATTTCAGCTGGAAAATAGATGAATTCATTTTTACCTCGACGTACTTTAATACAAGGTAAATCTGGTCGTTGTAATTTTCCATATGTTTGATGGAAATAATCGGCAACACTAATTTGTTGTTGTTGTTGATGCTGTTGTTGCTGTTGTTGTTGTTCATTACCATTCGGTTTGAACATAACTTTATCGGCCGATTCTAATGTAATACCGGCAATACGATAACGTCTTGAACGTTTAAGATTACAAACTTCAAAATAATAATCTTTGATCAATGGTTCCAAACGTTTGCGTAAAAAATCATTCCAACGATGTTGTTGTTGATGATGATGATAATGGTGATGATGATGATGATGATGGTGATGATGATGATTTCCAATATTATTAGAATTACCACCATTTCCACCAAACATTTCACGTTGAAAATTTTCAATACAATCATTCATCATAAATGGTTTGATAAATGGTGTACAACAACGATCCATAATTAATTGTAAACCAGATGAACATGTTTGTACTGAAGATGAAATACCAAATGCTAATTCTTTCAATGTTGATAAACTAGTTCGTTTATCATCTTTATCAAAACGATGATGAAAATTTGATCGTCCAATAAGAAAACGTTTTTCCATCAATAAATGTCGAATAATTAGATTAACAGCGGTAACCACTTCAACATAACTATCATTCATTGGATTACGATAAAAATCTTCGATAGTTGAATAAGCGACTGTTTTGATTAATTTAATGCATACTTCAAATTCTTGTTCATTATGATAATAATCATTTGCCGGTAATGTAACACGAAATTTAATTAGCTTATCATCAATAATTGGCAAACGAAAATTGGTCAACATTGATGATGCACCATCATAAACACATAATACATTATGGAATATATTTCCATTATTATTATTCATTTCGATTAATCTTTGTATTATTTTACGTGATAATAATTCATTACCATGATTATTATTATGATTTGTTGATGTTGTTGTTGTTGTTGTTGTTGTTGTAGGAATCAAATTTTTAGCTCCATATTTCAAACGTTGTTGTTGATCATTATAATTATGATTATTATTATTATTACTATTAATAATAATGATTGGATTGATTTTAACATAATATGAATAGATTACTTTATCCGGATCATATGTAATCATAAAATGATTTGTTAATATTATTAATGATCGATCATTTTGATTACCATTGCCATTATTGCTACCACCACCACCACTGCCATTATCATCAAAATCATCATCAATATCCGGTTTGGTTGCAAATAGATCAAAACGTCCACGTTTATTAACAAAATTTTTATCTTCATCAATATTTATTACTTTCATTGTTGTTGTTGTTGTTGTTGGTGATGTTGAAATCGACATTGTTTGGTTAGATTTGTTGTTAAATGTTGTTATATTAAAAACACAAAAAAAAATTATGGACAACAAAAAAAAAAAAATTTGACGAAATTTAATTCAATTCAATGAATGAGAATTTGAATAATAATAATAATAATAAAAAACGAACGATCGTATAGCAAGTAAATTACAATGAAATAAACATCCAAATCATTGGCTATTTATATCGATATTTTATTAATGATAATTTGATTTACTCAAACAAAATGAAACAATCAAAAAAAATTTCTATTTTCATTTCATTTCTGTTCGAATCGAACATAATCGATTGTTGGTTATCGATTGTTGTCGATGTTGCCGAAATATTCGAATGTTCGAATGAATTCTGTTTTGTTTGAGAAAAAAAAAATTCGAATTCAATATTCGAAAACATGTGTGATTCTGATTGTGAAGAAAAAAAAACATAAAGGGTGAAAAAATTTACAATCATCATTAAAATGGCATTCTCGAGATTTGAACTCAATGCTTCAAAAAAAAAGAAAGAATATTCCGGTTCTTTTCATTTATTTATTGAAAACAGAAACTCGCAAATGAATTAAGATTAAATTAATGGATTCGGCAGCCCTTATCATCATCATCATCGTCATCAAGTTCCATTTGGAATCCATTTTTGTTTTGTTTATAAAGTTAGAAAGAAAAAAAAAGTAGCAAGGGAGGAATATTTTTTTTTCGATCATCATCACACACACTGTAACGGTATTATTACTTTGAAGTCTCAACAAACAAACAAAGAATAAAGAAATCAATGAAAACACATATATAATGTATTTCTAATATAATTTTTTTTTCTCTCTTTTTTTTCTCTATTGTTTTCGTAGAATCCAAGAAAAACAACAACAACAACAACCAAAAAAAATCGACAATGTTTGACTAGCCTTGTGATGATGTATATATAATTCTTTGTTGATGATGGCCATATGATTGTTTTTGACATCGAAGAATGACTTATCGACTAATAACAACAACGACGACGACAACAACAACAACAACGATTGAAAATATTCCAACAGAATATAAATAATGATCCTAAAAAAACAACAACAACAACAAAAAATGAATCTCTATTCAAATATTTTGAAACATAAGATTTTCATTTTTCTTCATTTCTCTTATCGCGAATAAGAAATGATGATGATGATTAGGAAAAAAAAGCAAAGTTAATCTTTTCAATGTATGATATGTCATTTATGAATGTTTTCACTAAAAAAAAAAATTCGAATTCGAATTTTTCTTGTTTTCCGTTCATCGAATCAATCAATCAATCAATCAAATCGATTTGATTGATCAATATATCAATATTGTACAAATAATTATAAATAAACAACAACAACAACAACAACTGTTTACTCTTATCGATCATCATTATTATTTAAAATTTTCTTCTTTTTTTTTTGCAAAAGAAATTCAACAACATTATTCGGATGTCGGAATATATTTTTATTTCATCATTTAAACTTTGTTGTTGTTTTTTATTGGAGCAAAATTTTTCGATTTTTTTTTTGAAAAAATTACACATCCCGATTTCATTACAAATATAATGGATGTTGTTCGTACGCATCATTTTGTATAATTGCCAAACATTAACCGAGACCTACGTTCTGCAATCATTATTATCATCGCTGTCATTATATAACCATACAACTCGAACCTGTGTTTGTGTTTGTTTTTTTAACGATCGAACATCACTACTAGAATTCGACTTATCACCATTATCATCATCAAAATAATCGTCAGACTAGAAATGTTTACGCTTAAACACAACAATAGAAACACAAATCAAATCAACATTTCTCATTTTTCGGGAATAAGTTTATATTTTTTGTTGTTCCATTGTTGTTTCTGATAAACAAGAAAAAAAAGACAGCAACAAACAAAATTCATCGATTCTTTTTCATCACCATCATCATATGAATCTTTATCTGAATCAAAATCGTTATAGTGATTTTGTTTTACATCAACAACATTAACATTTTTTTTGTTTTGTTTTGTTTTGTTTTCCTCTACATTAACACAATCCGAAATCAACTGTATAGTGACATCATAAACATTATTATTTTTGTTTTGTTTTCGGTTATTATCCAACAAATTCGCCTTGTCTTTATCGCAATATTTATCTTTCATGATTCACATCATCATTGGCCATCTTGGATGTCATTATTATTGTTGTTTATGTTATTGAAAATATTAATATCATCATTATTTCAATGAATTATCTTCATCGCCATGTTTCATGGTTAATGAAAATGATGAAATTAAACATTCGTATAAATAATGATGATGATGGTGATGGTTATGGTGATAGTGATGAAAAGGAAAAATTCAATAGCAATAATTACCGTCGATCCATACAATTTGTCGATATATTTCTTATGTTCATGATGTTTATGATACATTTTCATCGTCATCGTTTTCGATATTGTCAACGTAAACGAAATACCGTTAGTGCCCGAAGTTTTTATTACAATCATCATCGATTTATTATCTATCTATCATACATATTTTGTCTATCAACATCAATATCGATTATGGCAAATGATCAGATTTTAATTTCTCGATCCTCATCATCATCGATGGTTACTAGATCATTACCACTTGTTCAACGACATTCCCCCTCATATGATAGTAATAATTATGATGATAATTCAACAATACCAATATGTCCATTATATATCAATAATGATAATGATCAAAATAATATGACCACATTAAATCCATGTCATTGTTATGGTTCGATAAAAATGGGAATATTTATTGAATGTACCGGTGCTAATATTCGACAGATAAATCAAACATTTGATCATCTTCGACAACAACAACAATCACAATCAAAAGCCGTCCATTCATTGAGTATTTATCGATTAAATACATCATTATCATCATTACCTGATTATTTATTTCATTCATTTACATCGATTAATGAGCTTCATATATCATCGACAAATCTAACACGTATCGGTACGATACAAACATTCAATGGTCTTGAAGAATCATTACATTCATTGAGTTTTGTTGATTCACAAATATCTATCATACCAAAATCAACATTATCTAAATTATCAAGATTAAAATCATTAGATTTACAATCAAATCATATTGCCAATCTTGATTCCTATGCATTCTATGGCCTTCCATTACGTACATTAAATTTACAGAATAATTTTCTAAAAAATCTACAAGAATTTGCATTCGGTGGCCTAGAAAATACCTTAGAAGAATTAATATTGAATGCAAATCAATTAGAACATTTTCCATTATTTGCATTACGTAGACTAAGAAAATTAGTTACATTAAAATTACAAAGTAATCAGATTAATCAGATACCGGATGATGGTTTTACACGTTTTACCGTATTGGAAACACTTGATCTACAATCAAATCAAATTCGTCATCTAAATTCACGTAGTTTTATGACAATGCCTAAATTAAAGATATTATATTGTTCAAATAATCTTCTTACCGTTGTTAGTGATAGTTCAATATTTGCACAGCTGCATTTTCTTGAAACATTAGATCTAAGTGTAAATCGTTTACGTGTTGTCAATTTGGATGGTCTTGAAAGTATTCGTACTGTTGATCTTTCTTATAATCATTTACATGATCTACGTTTACAAGGTTTAATCGGACTAAGAGAATTATTTGCATCAAATAATAATATTCTACAGCTATTGAATGAAACATTTATGAATACAACCGGCTTAGAAGTACTTTATCTACAACATAATGCTATTCATACAATTACCTACAATACATTTTATCGTCTACAACAATTACGTCTATTAGATTTATCATATAATCAGATACGTCATTTACATCAATCATTATTTAAGAATACAAATCAATTACAATCATTATATTTGGATAATAATCTTATCGATGATAATGGTATCGAACCGGGTATATTTCAAGAATTGGTAAGATGGACTTTATTTTTAAAAATTCTTTGGATATCAGCAATACTATTTGACGTTAAGAAATGATTTTGTTTTGCTTTTTTCTCACTTTGAAAAAAATTGTTGCAAGTAAAATTTGTTATGGCAATTTGTTTAGGGTTTTTCTTCCTAATGACAGTAAATAAATGATCCATTAATTCATTCATTTTTTTTCTGCTGTTGTTTCAATAATAAAAATTTATTTTCGGCAAACATTTTCTTTTTTTCACGTTTCTACGATCATCATCTTCATCTTGAATTTTCAAGTAATTTCTCTATAAATGTCGAATCTATTAGAAAGAATGATTGGAAGGGAATAAAACTACCAATCCATAACAGATAATCCGATTTGGGCATTTTTTTTTGTTGTTGGATTCTTTGTATGTCTCTAAATAAAAATAAAATAAACACATCAACAACAAAACATTCATTGACTATTTTTTCGTGCGTGTGTGTGTTGTGTGTGTTGAATGTGATGACCAAACACATAGCTAAGCATTTGTAATTAGGTCGAATGATTCTAATGATTTGTCGCCTAAATGTACGCCGCCGTTTTTTTCCGTTAACTGTGCTTTTTATAACCACAAATACCATCATCAATTAATCAATGGCTTACCGCTGGCCATTTATATATAATGGGCGGCATTTTTTTTTACCAACAAAACACTAATCCTTATAGTTTATTGAATGCTTTTTTTCTGTTTCGATATGATTTTTTTCTTTGTGCTGTATATGATATGTGTCCATTGCAGAAAAACTTTATCATCATCATCATCATCATTGATGCCAAAGAATATTTCTCTTTGGTCTCTTGTGTGTATGCATGTATTTAGATATTCTGGTCTGAAACAGAAACTTTTTCCCTGTTTTTTTTTGCGTTTGATTTCATTCTGAATGATATTTCCTGGTTTTTCTTCATTTCGATTATTTGATTTATATTTCAGGATGAATAATCAGGAAAAAAATATATTTCAGTTGCCATTCACAGATCACATAATTGGTTATCTTTTTTTTTGTCTATATTCTATCATCCATCATATTACAAACAATAATAATAACACACCTGACAGATGTATAGTTCGATTCAATCTTGAGATGTTGACAATGTTTACTTGTCATTCACTTTAAAATGATGGTCATCAAAATGAAAAATTTTCAATTGAATTTTTTATTATTGTTGTTGAAAATTTATTAAACACTGGTTTCACAGGTTTTATTTCAGGATTTTTATTTTTTTTGGCAATATTTTTCGCTTACATTCTTTTCAATGTTTGTTTTTTCATTGTTCATCATTGAGAAATTATTTTTTGATGAAATTCTTTTGCAGAATTTCCAAAAAAAAATGAAATGAAATGAACATCAAAAACGATCCAAAAAAATGAAACTTAAGCAAAAAAAAATCTATATATTTATGTGTTTTGTTTGCTTGTATTTTGTTTTCAATGTTTCTCCTCACTAACCATATCAAATAGATAAAAAAAATACCGGAAAACATCTTTAACAATGATGATTATTATTAAGAAGTATATATTTTTTCTGTTTGTTTGTTTGTACTTAATATCGATTCGTTTGTTTTTTCGGTTGATAAAAATTTGATGATTCAATTTTTTTATTTTCCCGAAACCATGCGATGATGATAATATAACAACAACAAAATTAAAAGAAAACTACCATGTTTCCTGTCGTTGTTGTTGTTTTGTATGAAGTTTCATTTTTTTTGTCCAAAACCAAATCAACTGTATCAGATGATTGTAGCGTTTTTTTCTCATATATCTCTAAATGAAATGAAATGTTTTTATTTAATTTCAATGTTCAATCAATCTATTCGAGCGTATGAAACAAAAACGACATAATAATGACGATAGATTTAAACCATGGAAAACGATTTTTAAAAAAAATTTAACAAATCTCAAATTTTATCGATAACCATTAGTTTTTCTCTTGGAAATTGATGATCATGAATTAAATGAATCAGAATTTTGAACTACTACATAGAAAATTTAATGATAAAGAAATCGATGATAATTTTTAATGGCCTTTGTTTTTTGTTTTTTAATATTCTTTTGTTTGTGTGTGTGTGTGTGTGTGTGTGTAACCACAAAACTTTATTCTATTTGTTCATCATCATTCCATAATCTTTTGTAATTCTGATCATGATACTTTTTTTCCTATTCTTTCTCTCTCTCTATATTCATTATACATATCATCATTCGGGTATATGTAGGAAGGATCACGTTCCTATTTTTCCTAATTTTGTTGTTGTTGTTGTTTAGTTTTTTTTTGTCGATTCTGTTTATTTATCTGTATGATTCGAACAAATTCTTTTAGTTTTTTTTTCAAAAACAACAAAACTTTTCGAAAATGACCTAAATTTATTTTGCCGGTCAAATATTCGGAATTGTCATCATCATCATCAGCATTATTTGTGACTGTTGATATAAATAAACAAACAGCAAACAAAACAAATCAATCCTCATTATCATTTGTAATGAATATGTTTTTTGTTTTTGTTTTCATACTTTGATCATTAACACTCCATTGAAATTAATCATAGGGATGATGATCAGTTTACCCAAAAAAAATTTTGCCTACTTTGTTTTTTCATTCTGTAAATTTCATTTTTCTTTACTGTAATAGAATATTCTGTGTTAGTGTGTGTGTGTGTGTGTGTGTGTGTGTGTTACAGATGTAAGTATAGAATAAAGAAATGTAATAAAAATATTAAAAGAAAGAAAGAAAAAAAACTGTATCAATTTCATTCTCGATGAATATATGTGACCAGAATCCTTGATACAATGATGATGATGATCATGATAATAATAATGAAGAATTTGAGAAAAAAGATATTTATTCTCGGGTGATTGTTTTCTTAACTTTATTTATTTATTTGTTTTCATCATTTTTTTCTGCTTTGGATAAATTTTATCTTTAGATGGTATGTGATCGAATCAAATCCGGGATCAAAATTCTCATATCAATTGATTATTGTTTTGGGTCATTTTATTTCAAACTTTCAAATTCGTGAAAGAATTTTCGTGCTTTTGTTGAAAAGTTTTTCTTCATTTTGTTTTGTTTATTTATAATATCTTTATTTTGGACAAACTCCATGAATGGCAAACATTTTTATCAATTTGAATATTAATTTTCAATCAAAATTGATGAATCAATGAATAAAGAACCGCACACATTCTGTAAATTATCATATTTGATTTCTATAGATCAAATTGTTTTGTTTGGTTTTTGGAGTGAATCTTTGTCTACTAGATCAAAATATAATCATAAATGTGTGTCTGGGCGAAAAAAAAAATTATATTCTTCATTTTGTTTTCGAGAATGAATGAATGAAAAAAAAACTTTTCAATCAATCAACAGCAACAACATAATCATCATCATTCATCATTATATTGCCATCATATAAAGATGATGATTATGATCCAGACAACATTTTGTCTTCAGAAAAACTGTGAAAATTTCCCTGTTATCATTTTTTTTTGGGAATGAAATTAATCATTTCCTGGAATATTTCTTCTTAGATAAGAGATATTTTTATATTTATTTTCTTACATCTTCTTCTTCTTTTTGTTTTTGTCATTGAATTTTTTTCCTTAGATAAATTTCATCTTATCCAATTTTTAAAAATTTTCATTTTTTTCCTTTTCACTTTTCAAACACCTCATTAATATTCATGGAATATATTGATGATGATGATGATGATGAGTGGAATCACTATGGGCAAAGAAAAAACTAAACATCTTTTGGGAAATATCTGAAAGAAACCGAAAAAAACCAAAATAGCACCACGGTCAATGATGATCATTATATTTCAAGTTGAATAAACTTTGAATGAAAATCAATTTATTTTTTTATGGTTTTTGTTTTTTCGATAACAACAACAGCAGAAAAAAACAATGTATTTTTATTATTGAAAAATCAATTCAATGTCTTTATCGAATCTTGTGTTTGTGAAAGATAATTCTGTGTTTTTCATGTTTTGGGTTTTGCTTTACGCATCATTTACATTTCTTTCCATTTCCAAATTCAATATATAGACATGGATGATGTCATTTTCTCTCTCTTTCTCTCACTCCGTGACACTTTTATACTATCACGAGATATGCTGGATATCCAAAACAAAACAAAAACAGGCTATAAAATTTAAAATTCATAGCAAAACTTGTTCTGTTTCTTTGAAGAACCAAAATTTCTTTTCTGTTTTTGCATTAAACCATCAAATCGACTTATTGATTATCGATTGTTTTTTGTTTTTTATTCGTTTATTCTGTTGTTGTTGTTGATAATTATCTTTTATTTGGAATTTTTTTTTCGCTTCAGATTCGTTTTCAAGATAAAGATTCTTGATTCTTTATCGAAAGTTAATCATAATTATTATTGTATAGTTAACTAAACTAATAAATAAAACTTGGAAAATATCTATCTATATGACCAATTATTATTGGAAAGATTAAGAATAATTCCATTGCTCTGTAATTTTTTTATTATTCGAGAAATAATTAATTCCAAAATGAAGAATATAAAAAAATGAAAAACTTTGTTATCGTTTTGCTAGAAAAAAATCTTCATTTTATGTATTAAGAAATTATTATTATGATCATCGCCACTAATTGTAATGATGATGGTAGTGAGAGAGAGAGAGAGAGAGAGAGAGAGAGAAAGAAAGAGATTACCGCATCCACCTACCATGTAGATATTTCTCGATAATTATGTTGGGTTTTTCTTTTTAAGCATCTGACTTTGTTTCTCTTTTTTTTTGTATTCAAATCTTTCGATATTTTTTTTTCTTTCTTTCCAAACAGAATTATTTCAACTAATGAATAATAATGATAATTAGAATATAATTAGTATGTTTGTTTCGTTTTTTGGTTTTAGTTGAAAATTTTCAAAAACAACAACAACAAAAAAATTAATTTAAGATTATCATTAAGTTTTTGTTGTTGTTGTTTCAAGTTATTATTATTAATACACTCGTAATATGTAACATACTGATGATTTCAAATCTTTGAATGTAAACGACCAAATTGAAAAGAAACGTTGAAATTTTCAAATCTCAATATCTCAATTCTTCGATTCTTTGATTCTTTGATTTCTGATCATGTGTGTGTGTGTGAATGATCTTTTTCTTCTTTCGTTCATTCAAAGATCCAATTTTGTTGAAATCACTTTTAATTCTGTTGTGTGTGTGTGCGTTTTGTTTGTTTCGAAAGAATTTCAATCTATTTCGTACATTGAATTGAATTCAATCGAATCAAATCAATCAAAGCGATGAACAATTTTCACAGCTATCGATCTATCTAATATCTATGTGAAAATCACTTGAAAATGATGAAATTTTCCTTTTGGTTTTGTTTTCTCTTATTTTCCTTTGCCAAATAGATTTGTCAATGGTGGTGGTGACATTAAACAAATTATTGAAAGGTTTTGTTTTGTTTTTTTCAAACCTAATACCATTATTATAATTGAAAATGATTTTTTTTTCGTCTCACATTGATCGCATCGCATCGCATCACATTTCAATTGATTATCAATTCTATTCAGTTGTTGTTGTTGTTGTTGATAAAACTTTAGGAATTTGTTTTTTTTCTCTTTTAAAAAATTTATTTAAATTTTTTATTCTCTCACTTCTCTCACTGTTGTCAATGTTGTCATTTTTTCTTTTATTGTTTTGGTTGAGTTGTTCGTTATTGAAATTTTGAAAAAGATTTGTGAAAAAAAGCATATTTTTTGAGGAAAAAAACGATGAAGTTTTTTTTTAAAAAAAATTTTGCTCTTTTATCTTTGTTTCCCGGGAAACTTTTTTGAACAACATCAGCAGCAATAGCAATGACAAAAGAAACGGATTGTCTATTCTTTGTTGTTGTTTAGATCGTTATGATAGCCTAGAAGAGAACAACATCCGGGAATCATCATCATCATCATTTGAATCGGGATAGATCCTATGGTCCAAGATTTTATTCATTTTCGAAAATGTCATTCAGAATATTCTGTTAGTGTGTGTATGTGGTTCAATGAGTTTTGATAACTCAAACCCCAAATGGGGGTAGGAAAATTGATGTGTAATTCACTTGATGGTAATGTTGTGTTTGGTATCAAAGAATATAAAAAAACGCAGTTTTCAAAGATTTTTTCATTTATTCTGTACTTTTATTTTTCGCGTCATTTGAACTTTATGATTAATGATGATGTGATAAGAAGTAGAAAAAATAAAATAAAATAGAAAATTTCAAAAACGATGAATGTAGAGAAGAAAAAAAAGTTTTTGATCATTCTTTGATTTCTTAGAAATTCTCGCTCTCTCTCTCTCTCCTTTCCCTTATTCTCAGTGTTATTCACAATGAAGAATTAGAATTCTATGAATTTTTCCGAATTCAAAGAATTCTCTTTTTTTTCACTGTTGAATTCGGAATTTGAAAAAAGTTTTCAAATATTTTTTTTTCTTCTTTTTTCGTTTTCCATATTTCTTAAATAATATTTAGAGTTTTGTCATCATCATCATCTTTTGTTCGTCGGTTTGTAAGATGTTCATAATCTTCCAATGAGAAAATAATCGAACCGAACAAACAAACAAACAAAAACAACAACAACAACAAAATTGAATACAAATTTTTCTATTCTATTTTGGAATAACTTAATTTCGAGAAACAACAACAACAAAACAATGTTAACTTTTTTTTCACAAAAAAAAAATTTAACAATGATGATTGATGATGTTCAGTTTATCATCATCATCAATATAGATTGATGAATTTTCTCATATTGATTGAATTTCAATGGAACATGAAATAAATATATTTTTTTTCCACATAAATCATTCATTTGATGATCTATATTTGATTTGATTATTTTTTTTCTCTTGACCATTATGACAAACAAAATGATTTTCACATTGACATTTTGATGATCATAAACAAAACAAGAGGCAAAAATATTGCCCAAGCGGAATTGTGATGTAAAGAGAAACCAAAACAGAAAAAAAACAAAACAAAAAAATTCAATAATGTTTTGAACGAAGAATCATTTTTCTTCCTTTTCCAGAATTTTTTTTTTGAAATTGAGGAATTTGCCTTCGAAACTTTTATTTTCCTGTTTTTTTCATATTCCAGAATTATTCCTTGCTTGATTTGGTATTTGGTAAAATTTTTTGCTTTGCTTTTTAGCCATTGGCTAGACACCAATAAAATATGTTTTATTTTGTTGTTTTTTCGGCTTGAGTTTTTTTCAGTTCGCATCTCGCTGCACAACATCAATTCATTTTGGTTGTCGGAAAATCGAAAAAGTTTTTTTCAAGAATTTAATTTTTTTACAATAATCATTTCCTGAAAATAATTATTTTCAACATCAGCAACAATCAAAAGAGATTATACCACTGATTTTTGCCATGTAAATTGCATATGATAAATGTGTAAATTTTTTGTGTAAAAGTTTCAAGTTTCTTCTTTTTCTTTATTCTATGTGTGTGTGTCAAACGGGAAATGGAAAACTTTTCATTTTTTCTTTTAAAATTTTTCCAATGGAAAACATGTATACAAAAGAAATGTGAAAAATTTATTTCAAATAAAATTTTCGCCATTTTTTTCGCCCAGAATTATTATGTGAAACGCCTTTTGTGTGTGTGTGTGTGTGTGTGAAACAATAAATTTTCTTTTCACATCATCATCATCATCAGTGAACAAAAATGGACAGCCTAAAATGAATGAATAAATTCAGCACCAAAAAAAAGAAGATTAATTAATTAATGAAAGAAAGCAGAAAATCCGATACACACAATGCTATAATGTTGTTAGTCCATTCATTTTTTTGGGAAATTTTCGGTTTTTTTTATTACTTTGAATCTTTTTTTCAAACATCCAGAATATTCTTCTGTCTTTTTTTTGTATGATATGGTTTAAAATGAATGAATTGAATCGAAAACATTTAGGAAAATGATTATCATGATAATCATTATGGTGTTTATAATGTGAATATGTGGGTGTGAAAAAAGGATAACATTTTATACAATGAAAGTCTATTTTTTTTTGAATTCTGTTTTTCGTTCCACTAATAATAATGTGACCATAGTAAAAAAAATTCATTATCTTGATCATCATCATAATTAATGATTATTAAAAATAAAAATGATTATAATGTTTTCTTGATTTATTTGTTTTAAACATACACCAAGGTTTTTTGTTATTTTGTTTCCAGAATAATATACTTATATGGTATGAAATTGATGATTTTTTTTTGTTAACCATGGATTCTCTGATTTGGTAAATAAATAATGTCAGAACAGAATGTTGTAGGCATTGAAACATTTGTTTAGACATTGTTTGATGTTAATATTGGCTGAGAATTTCTTTGATAATGAAATTTCTTTTTAATATTTTTCATTTTCTTCTCTCACACACATCTTAAACACGGATGACAGGTGATTCAATATTCTTAAGATCTTAACTTTTCGTTTTTTTGTTTGTTTTGACTTGTTGACAGTCATTGTAATTTCTATGCATAACTAAAAATGACATTCCTTTTCATCTTGTTTGTGATTTAATAATACTATTATGATGAAAACACACAAAAAAATGAATGAATGAAAAAGATTAAGCATTGTGAATGCATGATTACCACTGATTGATTCAATGTTGATGATATGTGAATATTCTTTTTTAACATAATAATATGATCAATAATAATGATCCAATTACCGATGAATATCCGAATGCATTGTTTTTTTAGGGTATTAAATTGTCATTGTCATTGTGACAATGATAGACATTCTTTTCTTTTTATCCCGGCCAAAAAAAAACAATAACAAAAACGATAAACGTTTCTCACGCACACACTCAGCTGTCCGCCGACCGATTCTGATGCCAAAAACAAAATTCCGGATGAAGAAATCAAAACAAAAAACAAAAATTCCTGACATTTATTATAGATGTATGTGGTGCTGCTCACTAACCGATCTGCTTTAAAACAATACCGAGAAATGAAAGAACAAAACAAAGAATTTCGATTTATTAGCTTTTTTGTTTCATATGAATTGCGATTTAGACCAAAATTCTTTATTAAATTGAATTTTATTCCTTTTTTTCAATTTGTCGGCCAAAAGATATTGAACTTTTGTTGTTTTGTTGGTCATTCAATGTGAATTTCTATTTGGTGGTTGACCATCCAGTTCAGTGACATTTTAATTTATTAAAAATTTTTCATTTTAAATTTTGTTTTGTTTTTTTTTTCTATTTTGCAGGTCGAATTACGTGATTTACGTTTACAACATAATCGCCTTAAACATATACGTAAAGGTGTATTCTATTCACTGCCAAATTTGCGTGATCTTGATCTACAAATGAATGAAATTGAAATAATCGAATCATTAGAATCATTAGCATCATTACAACATCTTAATCTTCAGGGTAATCGTTTAACGATATTTAATGGACAAATATTGTCAAAATTTCCGTCCTCATTACGTTATCTACAATTAAGCTGGAATCAATTAGATTCAATACAAAATGAAACATTTCGTGGCCAAAATGAATTGGAAGTAATTTGGCTAAATAATAATCATATTAAACATATTACAGAAAATGTATTCAATGATCTTATTCATGTGGAAAAATTATTTCTTAATCATAATGAAATCAATTTAATTGATGATGATTCATTTGTATCGATGAAATCATTAAAATATTTAAATCTTGAACATAATCGATTAGGTCATTTAGGTCGTAATATGTTTAAAGGATTAGAAATGTTACAAGAATTACGATTATCATCATCCGAAATTATCGGTATAGAACCAAATATGATGGAATATTTACGTTCACTTGAAATACTTGATATATCTGATAATCAAATATATACTTTAAGACGATCAATGTTTCATTTGGCCAAAAATATTCATGAACTTTATCTACGAAATGTTATGGCCGATGAAATTGAAGTCGATTCATTCGAACAACTACAATCATTACGTATATTGGATTTAAGTCAAAATTCAATCAATGCAAGACGTATGAATGGTATACGATTACCATCAACAATTCAATTATTAAATATTTCTCATAATAATCTTTCAAATAAAAAAGGAATTGAACTAAGTCCGGAATTCATACATCAATTGAATAATAGTTTAGAGATATTAGATCTATCTCATACACATTTTCGTTTAACAATAAATTCGGTCAATTTTTTTCAACCATTGATCAAATTAAATCGATTACATTTGGATTCAAATGAATTGATACGTTTTGATAATGTATCATTTCCTCAATCAATGAATCAATTGTCAACATTAACATTACAGGATAATCATTTCGAAACGATACCATTATTATTGGCCAAATTTATACCGAATATTCAAACATTATCATTAGCTAATAATCAGATCAAAAAAATTCCAACAAATGCATTTGAAAATCTTCGACTTTTACAATGGTTAAATTTATCTAAAAATCGTATTAGTATTATTGAATCATTAGCATTCAATGATCTTGATCAATTACAATATCTTGATCTATCCGGAAATGTTCTACGATCATTATCATCGAATGTATTCGACAATCTTCCACGTTTAAAGCATTTATCATTGGCAAACAATTGGCTACAATATATTCCAAATAATTTATTTAAATCATCGATTAATCATACATCAATGATTATTGTTCGAATGGATGAATTAAATCTTGATTCAAATCCAATGATACGATTACGTGAAGATCTTATTATTCAATCATCATCATCATCCAATAGTGTTGATGATTTTGCATTGATAACCATTCTACGTGCACAACATGGTAACCTAACCGTATTATCTACAAATGATTTTTTAGGTTTTAATCATCTTGAACAACTAATTTTACATGATAATCAAATACAAACAATTTCACCATCAACATTTCGTTCATTATCACGATTAATTGTATTAGATCTTTCTGTAAATAAATTGGATAATCTTCCACAGGAACGATTAATCGGTTTAATCAATCTAGAATCATTGAATATATCACATAATTCATTAACTGAACTTCCATTATTTGCCAACGATTTGGGAAAACATTTACATACATTAGACATATCATTTAATCGTATTTCACGTATCGAATCATTTGGACATTTATCATCGAGCTTAAAATATTTATCATTACGTCATAATATGATCAGCTGGATTGCAAATAATGCATTCCAAAATATGACATCATTAACAATGATTGATTTGCGACAAAATTTTCTTACACAGATTAGCGAAACAATTTTCGAATCCATAGAAGTTCGATTACAATCGATTATGTTAGCTGGTAAGTTATTCATATTGATTTTGTTTTTCTGAAATTTAATTTAAATGATAATTCATAGGTAATCCATTCCATTGTGATTGTCGATTATTATCGATTTATCAATGGCTTGAAGAACATTCACGTCTTGTTAAATTTGATAATGATGAAGAAATGATGATCTGTGATCAACCGGAAAAATTAAAACATGATTCTATTCAAAGTTTACAGCCAATCGATTTCTGTCCAATACCATTGATAACATTGTTAGAAGTGAATAAAATTGAATCCAGTGCAATACGATTACGATGGGAAGTACAAAATGAAACATTAGTCGGTGGTTTTACACTTGAATATTATTTAACATCTGAAAGATCATTAACATCACCAGCTGGTTTACAATTAAATTCTGGTGCACGTAATGCAGAACTTCGTGATCTTGTTTCGGAAAAATGGTATACAGTTTGTGTTGAAGCTAATGGTAAATATCTTCGACCATCATCATCTGGTACTTCGATGGCTGCATCATCATCATCATCTTCATCGATAGAATCTTTAGATCATCGAACAATGATGATGCCATCACAGGCAACAATTATTGAAAATGATAAACCAAAAGCACATTATATGATTAGTGATAATAATTATCCAATCATATATGATGATTTAAAGAATAAAAAACCAATTTTACAGGATTTTGTATCCGGTAATCGAAAATGTTCGCAGGTAGGTGTTTCTTTTTATCAAGAAAAAATTAAAGTCAACAAATTGATTGGATGTATGAGAAAAATTTGCCATCAAGAATAAGAATTTCGACAAAGATTGATGAACAATTGTTTTTCGATCGATCAATCAATCAATCACACTTGATAATTTTTAAAATTAAAGATAAAAGAATGAAAAGAAAAAATTTCATCCATTCATTTTCAAATGATGATCAAAATTTATACATTGAAAATGAATGAAATGGAACGTGATCAGGATTTTTGATGTGATTATCATTATTATTGAGTGTGTTGACAGCAGTATTTCTTTCTTTATTGTTTATCGTTTTCATTTTTTTGTTGTTGTTGTTGTTGACTTTTTTTTCTGGAATGTTTTCCATTTTATTCATTCATTCATTCATTACATAATGAATATAATTCAGTTTATGATAAGAAATGAGTCAAATAAACAATACTGGATTATTATTATGCAAATATTATTACATCATCATATTTTGAATAGAGAATAGTTTGGATAGGGTAATAGTGAACAGGCATAATGGATTATTATTGATGTGATGGGATGACTTGTTTTATTTTTTTTATTAAAATTAAAGGGTTACCATTTTTATCTATGATAAAGATACACACACACATACAAAATATTTACCATTTTGTAATAGTTTTTTTTATTCGGTTCTCGTTGAAAATAGCCCTATAATTATGGAAGTTTAAAGTGTTTTGAATTATAATAGTTGGGCTCTTGAACACATAAAATACTTGCACCAAGATGTTGAACATTACAGTTTAAAATTGATGATGATATAACACTATTTCTAACATTTTGAGACACAATAATAAATTTGTTTTCATCCTTCATAATTAATTCTTTTCGCCATTTCATTTAACAAAACACAATATGTAAACACAATATGTTGATGTTGTAGATGTTTTTAAATATCTTGGTGTTTCGATTCATAAGAAATTAAATTGGACTACTCACATTGAATCGGTTTCAAAAAAAGCATTATTTTTATATCACCAGCTGAGAAAATGTTATGGTAACACTTGGGGTTTATCATTCGATGTCCTAAAACATATTTATATCATGGCAATTGAACCAATTATGCTTTTTGCCTGTTCTATATGGGGTAATAAAATAAACAAAAAATGTATAACCAAGTTACGATCGGTTCAACGCAATTTTGTATTATCTATGATTCGTGGTTATAAAACCATTTCTTTTGATGCGGCTTTTGTTATTGCTGATATTCTTCCCATTGATTTGAGAATTCAATATTTGAATCATATCTATACATTGAGAACAAATGGTGTTTTTCTTGGTCTTCGTTGTCAACTTAAGGTTCCAATTTCTTCACTTCATCATCCCGCTTCAACCATTCTTCGTGCAAATTGCAATGATAATCATGACTTTATCATTTTTACTGATGGCTCTAAAATGAATGGTCATTTAGGATCTTCTTTTGTCGTTTATAAAAATATCGATGAAGATCCAATTTTTCAAGCTAAATTTAGATTGGCAAACTATTGTACGGTTTATCAAGCTGAACAATTCGCTATCGAGCGGGCTGCCTTTTGGATAAAGGATAAACAAAGCACTGCAATCATCTATACTGACTCTTTGAGTACAGTAAATGCCATTAATAATCGTTGGAACACTGATTATCTTATTCATCAAATTCGAACTTGGATTAAGGATAATCATATTTGTATTGAATGGATTCGTGGTCATCAACAAAATATTGGAAATGAACTAGCTGATAAACTAGCTAAAGAAGCTACCACCATGAATAATATTACCTTCTTCTTTTGTCCATTTAATTATTTGAAAAAAATTATTCGTTGGATTACGACAATTAAATGGAATCGTCTGTGGCTATCTTCAAATAATGGCCGTGTTACAAGATTGTTTTTTCCAACGATTTTTCATAGGAGGAATTCCAATCTTTCCCCAGATTATGTAATCACTCAATTCATTTCCAATCATGGTGATTTTCGAAGCTATCTATATCGGATTAATCGTGCAAATGATCCATACTGTAATTGTGGTGCCTTAGAGGATTCGATTCATCTTATGTTCCATTGCCAGAATTTTTCATTTCTTCGAATTCTTATAAACTTTGGCAACAACTTCAATTTAAGCAACTTTTTCAAAAATAATTATGAAATTTTTATAAATTTTTTGTATCTTTTATTTTTATTTAAGTGATTTTTTTTTTCTTTTAATTACTATTATTATTATTATTATTATTTTTTTTTTCTTTTTTTTTTCAAATCTTTTTCTTTGATTGTGTATTATTTTTTTTTTTTCTCTTTCATGTTTTTTTTTTCTTTTCTTATTGTGTTAATGTATTATATCCTTATTTTTTGGTATAAGGATTTTTTTTTCTTGATTAAATGAATGAATGAATGAATGAATGAAAGTGTTTTGAATTGAAATCATAATTGGAGAACGAAAGAAAAAACGAAAACATTGAATCGAAAAAATTCCTATCTTTGCATAATGAATTGAAATCGTAATGGAAAATCAAACAAAAAAAAAAGAGATACAAAGTAATTACCTTAATGATCATAATGATTAAGATGAGGATGCATAATTACAACAGCAAAAATATTAACAACAAGAAAAAAAAATTCATTATAATCATTAATTAATTAATTATTTTGTAATTAAAAGTTAGTTCGTAAAAAAAAGTAGTTGAACAAAAATAGACATTAGTTATTCAAGTGTGTAGGTGTGTGTGTGTGTGTTCCTCTTCGATATGTTATCCTTTTGAGATGTGTAAACACAAAATTCAATTTTGTTTATTTTTCTTCTTTCGTTTTGCACGTGTTTGATTGATTGATTGATGATTTGTTTTTGTTTTGTTTTATTTGAATTATTAGATACGAACATTGTCACCATTGGATGGACGTCGATTAATAACATTACCAGCTTCAAGCATTATCATTGCAATCGGTTTATTTTTTATGCTTTTATTATCTGTTTGTATATTGACAATCATTATATTTCGTTTTCGTCGTAAAAGAAAAATTAAACTAAATAATGGCAATAATGATAATAATAAAAATGATAATGATGATGATGATGATATTATTAATGTTGATGATAATATTGATGATGATAATGATAATCATGGACAACAACAACGTTCATCAACAGTGGTCAGTTTTGGTACGGTAACAACAAATTCAATTGGTTCGGGAAATTGTCTTAAACAATCGACCGTAACAGTAACAACACCAATGATGGATCCACATCATCAACATCAACATAATCATCATCTTCATCATCATCATCATAATCATCATGAAGATAATGAAAATGGTATTAATATGACTGAAATATCTGAATTAGTTGATCCGGTTATTATGAATGATTATATAACATATAGACATTTTGCCTTACCATATACACAGGAAAATGTTTATTCATAAACAAAAAAAAAATTCGATTGTAAAAGTCAAGAATCCAACCAAAATTGTAATTTTCCTGTTTTTGTAAAAAAACAACGTTGTAAATAAATAATTTTCATTTGTAAATAAAGATAAGCCAATAGATGTTTTATCAATATTTTTTAAACAAAAACACAATTTAAAATGATAATAATTTTTGCTTGATGGTGATGCTCAATTATAAGATTTTGTTTTGTTTTGTTTTGGTTCGGTAGAAAATGATGATGATCAAATTTTTCATCGTCATCATTAGTTTTTAGGAAATTTTTCTTTTTCTTACCGTTATTGTTAATTTAATTTAAGTTTTTTCATTCAAGACAGATAAAAACAAAAATGAAAATGAAATGAATTTTAATAAAGAAAAATTCTTTTGAAATATTATTTTTTTTTTCGAAATTTCTCCTGATTACACAACATAAGATGTTTTAGAACATAAAAAAAACATGATGAAACATGTAAAACCTGAGAAAAAAAAGGAAATCTTTTCGAAATAGTTAACATATTTTTTCCGGAAAAAAAGATTCCTCGATGATTATGATGATGATGATGATTGAACATGATGTTCATTCATTTTCGTTCCTGAAAAATGGTTTCTTTACTTTAATTTCAGTTGTTGTCTTTTTTCAGTTTCTTTTGAACACTTCATAGATATTATTCACTTTATAAACAAAAAATTTTCTTATTTCAATTTTATTTTTTTTCCAGTGATGATTACATAATGTAAATACTTGCATCATCTTTGTTTTGTTTTTTCATTATTACCTACTACATCAACACAGATCTCTCTCTCTCTCTCTCTCTCTCTTTCCCTATTTCACACACATCCTGTATAAATTCATGAACATTGTAAATTCAATCTGAATATATGAATCAAACATTCAACATCATTATCATTTGGAAAAAAACATTGATAATCTTATTTCATTCTTTGTATGTAAATATTATGTATGTTTTTTTTTCTCATATTCTTACATTCTTTTTCTTCTTCTTCTTCTCTCTCAAAAATATATGATCCACTTTGTAATATAGAAATTTATGATGAAAGAATTTTTCTTTTTTAAAAAAATAAATAAAATTTTTGAAAAACAAAACTGGAGCAGAATTCTCATCATTACAAAGGCTTATTTTGGTTTTTAGGATTTTTTTCTTTTTGGCACTGAAAAAAAACAACAGAATTTCGATGACAACAAAACAAATCCAAAACCATGATGATAATGTGGAAACAGTGGAGAGAAAAAAAGAAAAGAAAACAACAACAATTCATCATCCAGAATTATCCGGATTCTTTCTCCTTCATCATCATCATCATTGCCATCATTATCATTATCATAGAACAACAACATCAACATCAACAATTTGGCATCCGAAAAAAAAACAAGAGAAAATAGAGACAAGAACAAAGAATATTTTCAAGTTTGGATGTTGATGTTGGTGATGATGATGATGGCTAAATCTATGTGTGGATGTTCTTATCTTTTTTTTATTTTTTTCCCTCGAATTTTTGATTTTTTTTTCTCGCTATTCTAAATTCATTAGTTTCAATGTTCAATGTTTAAACACAATGACAAGTAGTATAGTAAGCACAAGTATCATCATCAGCAGTTTTTTTTCAACCAGTAGTAGCCGTTTGTCGTCATTATATTTAATGTCATTATCATGTTTAATACGATGATGATGATGAAACGCAATGACATTAAATGGAACGCTCCAATTTTTTTTTATTTCTCATCCAATGATGAGATCCAAAGAATTAAAATGGATGATACTCTCTCGCTTACATCAACCAATTGGAATTGAAAAAAGACGACTTTTTAAATTTTAAAGCAATTTTTCATTATTGCCGGGCAATACTTGAAGAAGAAAAAAAAATTCGGGTGATGAAAAATTGAAAGAAAAAATCTTCAGAAAAGGAAAGAATGATGATGATGTGACATTCGAATCAAATCATAACGATGATGGACGAAATTCTAGATGATCATCATGATGATAAACGATGAATAAATTTTCATCAAATTTTTTGAAATGTTTTTGAAAAAAATCAAGTTTTCAAACTATACTGGCCAATTGAATTATTTTTTTTTTACGAATGAGAACCAACAAAAATCATCAATTATTTTTCAGATTTTTGTTCAACAATCAAATGAATCAATCAGAATGAATTTTATTTTTCATACATCATCCACACCGTGTTCTGGATTGTTTGATGATGACAATGATCATACACATGACCTAGATCCGTTCTTTTTTTCAAACAAAATTCTATCACAAACCATCATTTTTATCATCATTTTTTTTGGACGACAAATCATTTCATTTTCTTTTATTTCAGTTTTCTTCATTCGTCATTTATTCAATTTATTTGATTCCTTTTTTGTTTTGTTTTGTTTTACTAACATAATGTTTTAGCATTGTTGTTAACATGAACAAAACAACAACAAATTTGATTTATTCCAAATTGAATAGTTGTTTCATTATTATCTAATGATTATAAGAATGAAATTCTGGATTCTGTTTGTGTGTGTGTGTATGTGTGTTTGTTTCTTTATTTTGAATAATGGAAATATGTATCGAAGGGGGGAGAGAAAGGTCTACTATTATTTTGTATTTTTTGTTTATATGTCACCCTTTTCCGGTCTATTGCAATTTGTAAAATAACATTTGTAAATATCGAGAGAGAAATAGTTAGAAAAAACAAAAACAACAATTGTAATAATAATTTATGATTTACATTCTTCAAGTTAATGTTTTATATTCTTGGATTTTGTTAGTTGTTTGTCAGGGTTTGTTGTTTAGTTTTTTTTTTGATAAGGGGGAAGAAAGAATGTTGAAAAAAAGTTTGTCCATTCACACATACAGTATAGTATTTTTTGGATAAAATAAATGGAAAAAGTTTTAAAGCAATGAAAATTCAACTAAACACCATCATTGCCGATTTTTAAATGGGCAATGATGGTGTTTAGTTGAATGGGGTTGGCAAAAGAGATAGGAAAACAAAACTTTAACATTTCTTTTTCCAAGAGAATATTATTTTATCAAACCCCCCTCTCATCATCCAAATGTAATAGCCGAAAATTTTCGTAAATTTTCTATTCTCTCCCCCTCTATATTTAGTCTGTTGTTACAAATATTATATGTAGTCACCCAAAGAATCATTGAATTAGAATAACGAATGGGTTAATTTTTTTTTCTTCTCACCAACTTACACACACGAAATATCGTTTTGTAAACGAAAAACTTTTGACGTTGTTTCGGACATTTTTACTCTGTTTGTTTATGATTGTTTTCGTTCTCTCTCTTTCACTTTCGGAATTTTTGTTACAAAATTAATTATTTTTCATTTCAAACGAAAAACAAAAAAATAAATAAACACCCATACACAAAAACATCAAATCCAATAATGTTTTTCTCTGAATATAAAATGGCCTAGATAATGTTTTTAGGCTGTCCTGATCTAAATCTGATTTGGCTTTGTTGTTGTTATTTTTTTGCTACACATCCATTAATCTGGAGTTTTGTTTTTACTTACACCAAAAACATTTGCCATGTCCATTCACTATTCGTTATCTCAACAAAAATTCAATAAAATGAAGAAAAAAAATCCGGGAACGAAATTAAACGCGATTTAAAAGCGTCCGAATTTTCAACTTTTTTTCTATAGTCGAATGAAACAAAAAATAGTCTGGTTGTTCGGGTGAGAATAGAAAAAAAGGAAAAATTAAAGCCCCAACAACAAACTTTGACATAAAATGAAATCTAAACTGATGATGATGGTGAACTTTTCTTTCCGAAAAAATAATGGGCAACAAACTCTTTCTTCGATTCCATTGGGTTGGCAAAAACAAAAAATGAATCTTAACCGTTTTTATTTAAACTTGCTACTGATGAATGGTCCATTAGAATAACCCGCATACATACACTTATGGACAGACCAAATGAATACATTTAAATTCCTCCACCAAAAACTTGACAACATTTGCATTTATGATTGGCTATTGCCATCACCACCGAAAAACTATCACTGCCATATATAATCATCATCATTATCATAGGAAAAGTTTCTAAAAATAAAAATGAATAAATGAAAACTTTATCCATTTCATTTTATCATCATCATCATCATCATCATCATTTATTATCGTTGTTTCAATTGTTTTTTGTTTTTGCTTTTCGGAATAAATGCTAAAAATCTGTTCGTTCAATATATTTAGATATATAAGAAAATGACCTTTCCTCTCTCTTTTTTTTTTGCTTTATCCGTTAATAATAATAATGATCATCATTATGATGATAATGATAATGGCCATAACTTGATACAAATAATTCTTTTGTTGAATGAATATCATCATCATTATCATCCTGACCTTTGATCCATTCGAACAGAACATTGTACAAATGTTTTATAACTGAATTGCATCGACCATTCCGAAAAAAATGGATGTTTGAAATATGAATATATTCAAATTGTCCATTTTCATTCAATTCAATCATACCATCACCATCAATAAAACTTTTTTGCTACAGTTTTCACACGAAATGCACAAAATTCCATGAAAAAAATGAAAATTGAAACAAAGAGAAACACTTTGTACAAAAAAAAAATAAAACCCGGTATTTACGAAAAAAAGAGTGAAGAATTGTAGAGAAAAAAAAATCCAGAATCCTAAAGAAAAAATGGAATCATCCAAAACATTCAGAATCCAGAATAATGAATATGAACGATATGATATTTACATATCATAATCACTATGAATTTATTTATTTTCATTTTATCCATTTTTTTATAATATGTAAAATGATGCTTCAACGAAAAAACAAACAAACAAACAAAAAAACAAATGTAAAAAACAAAGAAGCAGAAAAAAAATTTAAAAATTCAAAAAAAATAAAATAAACCGAATCAACCAGAATATATAAACGATTCTCATTATCATCATTATCATTGATGATGATCATCATCATCTAAACATAATCATAATCCCTTTTTGCATACTTTATTCGGTTATGAAATTCATTGCCGACGATTCAACGATCCGCACACGCATTTTTTTTTTTGTAAAATAAAATAACTCTGTACCAAGATACACGCACACTTTGTTTTGGTGTATGACAAATCTGGTGTAATGGAAACATGGTTAGGAAAAAAAATCGATGAAACCAAAACCGGAAAAAAAATATTTCAAATGTTCATAGGAATACGTCTTTAGTTAAAAAAATTAAACTCGATAAGTTTATTTTAAAATCTAAATAATTCATTTCAGAGGGGCAATATAAAAAAATTCTCTAAAAAAATCAATATTATAATGACCAAAGAGAATCCGGAATTATTGTGAATGTAATATTGATTTGTTTCAAACAAAAAATTCTTTTGAATGATTAAGAATTTCTTTTTTTCGGAATAAAACTTTTAATATTTTTCTGAAAGATGAAAGAAATTCTATGTATATTCTTGCATAGGAAGAAAATTCTCTAAATTCTTTTTCTTCTTTTTTTTGAAAAATTAGTTTATTAATTGAATTTATTCTGTTGTTTTTTTTCACACACACATAAAAGTGGGAAAGCTGGACAGGCAATTTTGTTGTCGAAAATTCTTTGGACTCAACCAAAATGACCATGACTGTGAAATATGAATGATCAACAGACCATGAAAATGAATTTGAAAAACAAAGTTAGAATCAAATGACAATCATCATCATCGTATATTAAACCAATGAAAAAAAAGGCTTAAAACATTTATCTGTATCTGAAACATTCGTTGAGAAAAATCCTCCATAAAGATTCACTAGGGATGATAATTTTTGTTCACTACTAAATGAGAAAAAAGAATTTAAGCACAACAGAATTACTGCCTGTGTGGGTGTAAAAAACGGAAATTTGTTTTCATCGTTTAATCAAAACAAAACAAAAAGAAGAAAATACAATGTAACAATTGCATTGAAAAAAAATTCTTGACAGAGAATTTTTTCTGAACCGAAAATAGTTTCGGTTATAGGAAATGGACGGAAATAATTATTAACAAAACAAAAAAAAACAATTCTTAATTTGATTCGATTTGATTACTAAAGAGGTACTCCATCTTGTGACAATCATAATAAATGTTCACACATGAATAAAATATTTTTTTTATTCGATCCATTAATTGATGATATAAATAATTTTTTTTCAAATTAAATTAATTTTACTATAGTAATTGAATCAACGGTATTTTTACAATCAAAAAAATAAAGTTGTATTAGGATATTGTTCGAAGGACAAATTTGCTTTCGAATATTGGAATGAATGTTCGTTAATCAGTACGTTTTTTTTTGTGTTTGTTTGTTTGTCAGATGGAAACAGAAAATTTTTTTTGATTATGTAGCCAATGCAAGTGAACTGAATAAAGCACCACCATCAATTAATAAACAGCTACCTGTCATAAATTTTGCATGATTTGAACCAACATAGGCAACAAGATCGGCAATATCATTCGGTTCACCCATCATTCCTAATGGTGATGATTTTCGTAAATATTCTTCTTGTTGCATTACTTGTTCCGAATTGAAACCAATTGCAGTGAAGAAATTCGTTTGTACACCACCCGGACTATTTTATTTATTTATTGTTGTTGAAAAACATTGATTGAAGATTAGTTGTTATAATGAAAAAAAAATAGATTAAACTAAAAACAAACTTACTTAATCGAATTAACTCGTATTCCTTTTGGTCCAAGTTCCATTGCAATCACACGAGTAAACATATCAATCGCTGCTTTAGCCATACAATATCCATAAAATCCTACAAGCTATTCGCACAATGTTTATGATTATTGATTATTGATATGATTTTCATTCATTAAAAATCAACTAAAATTTACCGGTTTTAAACTACAAACACTTGAAATATTAATAATATTTCCTTTTGTTTGTTCCAAATATGGTATAGCCATTAATGTAAGATTGATTGTAGCACGAACATCTAATCGTATAACTTTTTCAAATGTTTCCAATGATTTTGGATCGAATACAGATGTAACCTGTGCATAACCAGCATTATTAATCAATAAATCTAATCGTCCAAACATATCGATTGTTGATTGTATTAAACGTTTTGCATCATCATCATTCGTTATATCGGCAACCACTTCTAATGGTTTAGATTTTTTTGGTGATAATTGTAAACATTCATTAGCAACACGATTAATATTTTCTTTTGAACGGCCAGTGATAACAACAAATGCACCCAATTCAGCCATACGTTTAGCAATACTTTCACCAATACCCGAACTTGAACCGGTTATTAATACAACTTTCTCCGTATAATCAAATTGTAATGACATTTTTAGTAAATTTTTTTTTCTTTTCAAACAACAAACAAGCATTTAATGGGAAAAAAATTAGGACAAAATGCAAACACACACTTTATTTGATGAACAATGCGAATAATGATAATAATAAGTTTTTATACGATCCGAATGGATGATTCATTTTGTTCTAAAACAACCTTCTTCGAACATTTACACCGCAAACAAACATTCATACCAAAAAACAAAAACAAAAAAACGATCAGTTAATTTTTTTCCAAAATTTTTAAATCATCAAGGATGCACATATTACAGAGTGAGAGAAATCAAAAAAAAAAAAAAGAAATATCATAATAAAATATTATTCAAGGCAATAATTTTTATGATAAAACAATTTTCATTTTAAAAGTTATCGATTCAAACCGAAAGAAAATGCAATTGATTTTATTTATTCATTTTTTTTCTCTTGGTTGGTGTAAAGATGAAACAAACACACAAACACACATTACATATTGTTGATTTAATTAGATTTTGTTGATTTAATGGTTGAATCGAATAGATCATTTTTTCCATGTTTATCAGCAAATCTAAATAATGGTTTACGAAATGTTCCCAATTCATTGCCATTCATTGTTGTTGTAGTTGCTGTTGCTGTTTCGAAACCTTTTCTTGTATATTTCATATGTAATATTGCTTCAGATAACCAAAGATCAGTATATTTAATTAGATAACCTAATGCTAATACAACCGAATTTAATGAACCATCATAACAATAGATTAATGTATTGCCATTTTTTAAATAATTTTCATGTATCTTATCGGCAACATCATTTATATATAATTTTAATGTTCTTGGTTCTTTTGTACTGATCGGTACACGTAATGTTTCCGTATTTAATAGTTGTTGTTTATGACTTTGACTATCTTCATTAATTTTTGGAAAATCAACCATAGGTAAATCGATGGTTGCATTCAATAATAAATTTATATGATTTGTTTTCAATGTTTTTGATGAAAGACCACCAAAACTTGTAATATAACAATTTTGTATTACTTTATTTGTTTCAATATTATAATGATCGATTTTTGTACGAATTACTAGATCAGTTGATAATTCATTCTGTATAAATGATTTTAATGAATTTAATGATATATGTTTCTGTTCAATATCTAAACCATCCGGTGTTTTACGTGATGTTTGATCACGATATAGTCGTGCATCACTTGCTAATTGTACCGATGTTATTCGACTTATTGTAAATGGACGTATACAACGTCGATTCGTTTGATTGATTTTATCCGCTCCTGTAGCCGCTATCGTCATTCCATTTAGACCAGTTGTTATACAATTATTATTATCTTGAACCACGGATTCTACTGTATCTGAACATCCGATTAAACAGCTGTTTCCCATGATTCGAATTATCGATCGAATGTAAACACAAAAATTTTTAAAAATTCATTGCGTTCATATTTATAATCATCATCATCGACAACAATTAAATTATGTTGTTGAATAAAAAATTTGATTTATTTTATTTTACAATAAAAAATAATTTGATTTACAAAAAGCGAATTTTTATGGGAAAAAAATCACAGAATTTAGAATTTATTTAATAGAATTTGTAGCCAATTTATCGGCCATTTCATTACCATAATCACCTGAATGTGCACGTACTTTTGTCCATATTAGACGATCCATTTTACTAATTTCTTCATCCAAACGACAAAAATCTTCTTTATTTTTAACCGTTTCACCAGTAGACAATTTCCAACCATTAAGTTTCCATTTGGGAAACCATTCGGTCATGGCTGTTATCATAAATTTTGAATCCGTATAAATATTCAATTTTAAACAATTATTTTTCAATGCCGTTTGAATGGCTACGATAGCTGCTTCAATTTCGGCACGATTATTTGTTTGTCGACCTCTAATTCGACGTGATATATTATCCGGATGATCATTAGCCCAAAATACACCAATACCAGCTTTAGCATTTCGTTTACCATTATTCATACATGCACCATCAGTATAGACAATTGGATCGCCTAGATGATTACGACGTATTGTATTGAAATCATTTTTTCGACTTTTTGGAATTGGGGGATGTTTTTGTTTAGCATAAATACCAACAGGTTTTATTTGATTATTCTGTTTGATTTTGTTAGATGGTGATCCATTCTTCTTAGATGTAATCATTCGAACAAAATTATTACTGCTATCAGCTGTTGTTGTGGTCGAAGTCGTCGCAAAAATTTTCGCCTTCGAATTTGATGAAATAATGACAGGAGGTTTATGGCTTTTTATAAATTGTTCGGCTTCGGATTTAGTTTTAAATTTTTTATATCTAGCACCGCTAAATCCTTTTACCTGCTTTTCACATTCAACCCAAGTATTAAAAATTCCTTGTTGTCGACCATTTGCAACCGCATAATATGACATTTTAATTTAGTTTTTCTTTGATAAATAATTTTCAGCCAAAAAAAACAAATGAAACAAAACAAGCTAACTTATTGCAAACAAACAGAATGAAATTCTGACCGTGCATTCTGGTCAGCAGATAAATTAATATGACAACAGAAAAAATGCACGCGCGCCACAAATAAATTCTATGAGAACTTTCTCGTTCACAATCAAAAACAATTTTCCGAAATATTTTTTCAATTTTTTTATAATAAAATTAATAATAATTATATAATAATGCATGACATTTGTTTTTGTTTGTTTGTTTGATTGGTTTTTTTTTTGAAACATTGAGAAATAAAAATACAATAAGAAAAAAATCTAATCTTCAAGAAAAAAGAAATTACCACCACGTTTTTGTTCAGTATCTTTAACTGAATTTAATTTATTAATTCTTGGCCGATAATTATTTGGATCACGACGAAATGTTATATTCAATAGTTCCAAAAATCGATTCATACCGGACAATAATGATTGTGGTGATGTAGCGACTGTTTTTATTGATGGTTCACCTTCAAATACAATAACACGATCAGCTAGATATGTGGCCATTATGAAATCATGTTCAACAATGAATCCGGTCTTTTTCGAATGAAGAAAAAAACGTTTAATAACTTTAGCAGCAACAAGACGTTGTTCTGAATCTAAATATGCTGATGGTTCATCAATTAGATAAACATCGGCCGGTTTACCAAGACAAAGAATCAAAGCAATACGTTGTAATTCACCACCAGAAAGATGTCGTACTTCTTGATCAAGTATATTATCAATCTGTAATGGTTTCACCACTTCGCCTTGAAAATGTGGATGTGTAAAAAAATCACGAATTTTTTCATGCAATAACATTCGTACTGTTCCTTGTGATTTGGGACTTATTTTCTGTGGTTTATAACTAATATTCAATGTTGGCACATCGGATTCGCCTTCATCCGGTTTTAGATTACCAGCCATCATTCGAATGAATGTTGTTTTTCCCGTTCCATTTTCACCCAATAGAACAATAATTTCTGAATCAGTAAATGTACCGGGTTCAACGGTCAATTCAAATGGTCCTAAACGTTTGATCATACGTGGATATTCATAACGACACATACGTTTAATCTCTTCATCGTTTGCAGTTTCGGCTACTTTAAAAACTAATGATGCTTCACGAAAACGAAGATTTTCTGTCGGTACAAATCCATCGAGGAAGATATTAATACCTTCACGTACCGAAAATGGCATCGTTACAACACCGTATACACCAGGTACACCGTATAGGCAACAGATAAAATCGGATAAATAATCCAAAACTGAAAGATCATGTTCGACGACAATAATATATTTATTCACCTGTAATAATGATCGTATAGCTTCGGCAGCTTTCAATCGTTGTTTCACATCCAAATAACTAGATGGTTCATCAAACATAAATATATCGCCATTCTGAATGCATACCATTGCAATAGTGAAACGTTGTAGCTCACCACCACTTAATTCGGAAACATCACGTTCAAGTATAGCATCGGTTAGATCTAATAATTGACACATTTCTTCCTTATTTTTTCGTTCATTTTTTTTATCGATTAACGTGCTGACAGTACCAGCAATGGTTTTTGGTAATTGATCAACATATTGTGGTTTTATTATGGCTTTTAAATCATCTTCAAGTATGCGAGTGAAATAATTCTGTAATTCAGAACCACGAAAATAAACAAGAATTTCTTGCCAATCAGGTGCATCGGCACCATATCTACCCAGATTTGGTTTCAATTTACCAGCTAAAACTTTTAATGCAGTAGATTTACCGATACCGTTTGTACCGACTAAACCAAGTACTTCACCCGGTCTTGGTGTTGGTAATCGATGAAGTTTAAATGAATTTGGTCCAAAACGATGCGTTGTTTCGGAGCTCAGATTTGAAGGTAAATTAATGATGGTAATTGCACCAAGTGGGCATTTTTTAATACAAATACCACAACCGATACATAATTCTTCACTGATTTTCGAAATCTTATCATTCTGCGTTACTTCGATACATAATTTACCCATACGTACAACTGGACAGGATTTTTTACATTCAAGACGACAACGTTTTGGTTTACATTTATCATGATTAACAATAGCGATTCTTGTCAAAGATTCCTGCGTTTCTTGTTTACTTTTGGGTGGTGCCATATCGTTGATCTTTTTTTTTGTTGGTTGATAAAAAATTGAAAAAAAATTATTTGATTGATTGATAACAATCTGTTGTTTACTACTTACATTTCCAGATGATATTTTTAGCAGAAATTTTTGTTGAATTACATATGAAAATAGAAATTTTTTCTCGTCGAATTCTTAGTGTTTTCGGAATCAGAATTTTTTTTATTAGATAAAAAATTGGCGGCGGAAACACGCATGCAATATTTACAGAAAACAAAATTTAATACGGAAAAAGAGAACGATCACATGTGCACATTTAATATATCAATGAATACAGAAAATCATGTCAACGTTGAACATTCAACACAGTGATGAACGATTAAATCGCTATCGATACTAAAAAAACCATCAAAATGTTTCTTTCAATCGACACTAGATGGCTTGAATTCTGGTAATAATTCAATATATTGAATTTTTAAATTCTTTTTTATTCGATTTAATTATATATTATTAAATTTCAAGCAAACTATTTCATACAATTTTTTTTCAATGAATCTTTATCTATAAAGATGATCAGCCTCTAGATTGGCTGCAATTTCCATTTCCCATTTATCACCATTTTCTAATAATTTTTCTTTATTATATAATAATTCTTCATGAGTTTCGGTTGCATATTCAAAATTCGGTCCTTCAACAATAGCATCGACAGGACAGGCTTCTTGACAGAAACCACAATAGATACATTTGGTCATATCGATATCATATCTAGTCGTACGACGGCTACCATCCGAACGTTCTTCAGCTTCGATAGTGATAGCCTGTGCAGGACAAATGGCTTCACATAATTTACATGCAATACAACGTTCTTCACCAGACGGATATCGTCTTAATGCATGTTCACCTCGGAAACGTGGTGATAACGGTCCTTTTTCGAATGGATAATTTATCGTTGCTGGTTCTTTGAACATTTGACCTAAAACGACACCCATACCACTAATCAATTCACCATACATTATGCCATTGATTGTATCGTCCAAAACTTTTTTCGCTGTTACTTCTTCATAATCATTGACGATGAAATAAGTGCCTTTAAAAAGAGCATTAGTGGTTGTTAACGGGCGTGATGACAATATGGATCGAGCCACTGATGGTGATCGCGAAGCTAAATGACGACCTGTAAATGAAACCATTAACTTATTATTTATAGAATATGAAATATTCACAAAAATTACCAATATTTAATGCAAACATAACTGATAAAAGATGATGAATTGATCGATTGATGATTGCTGTAAATGAAAAAACAGAATAAATAAATGTCCTTTGGCAAGCTGACACTATTGTTGGAAACTTTTTTTTAACAAAATCATTTTCCCAAGGAAATTTTCTAAAAATGTTTTATTTAATCAACAGATGGCTGTGTGAAACAAATGAATTTATTCGAATTATTTGTTTACCCCGGTCATTATTTATTTAAAGTGTTCGAATTGTTTTTTGTTTGGTCGTTGTTTCGTTGATTTCTCGACAATTTTATCATGAATATTCCAAATCAACGACATAATGATGAACCAAAATGGCCAATCGGTTCAGAATATCTATGCGGTATGGGTGCAGGACTGTTAAGTGTATGTATTACATTTCCAATCAATAAACTTATGTTTCGACAAAGTGTATGGGGATTTGATGCAGCTAGTGCTTTACGTCAATTACGTATCGAAGGTATCGGTTATCTTTATCGTGGTGTTGGACCACCATTATTAGTAAAACCATTATCATCATCAGTAATGTTTGGATCGTATAATCAATTTTATCGTATGTTATCTACTGAAAATAATAATGTTAATGGCTTTGATTTCCAAGCATCATTATTGGCATCATTATTATCCGGTGCTACTGAAGCATTGATAGCAACACCATTCGAACGTATTCAGATGATATTACAGGATGGTCGTTTCAATAATCAATATACAAATATGTTTGATCTATTCTATCAGATACGTCGTTATGGTATTCAAGAATATTATCGTGGATTTCGTATTACGGTATTACGTAATGGACCATCAACATTTTTATATTTTTGTAGTTTAGATTATTGTGAACAAAAATTATTTCAACCATCATCATCATCATCATCATCATCATCAACAATAACGACAACAACACAAATTAATAATCAAAGAATTACAAATGAATTTATGAGAAAATTTATAACTGGCGCAATATTAGGTGGTACAATATCAACATTAATCTATCCATTAAATGTAATACGCACAAGAATACAGGTACAGCCAATCGGTACAAAACATATGTCCATACGTCAAGCATTTGAACAATTATATCAGGAACGTATTGGTACATCACGTTCATTAGTAGCCGGTATACATGTAAATCTATTTCGATCATTTTTACATTGGGGATGTTTGACCGCTATTTCAGATTTCATTCGAAATAAAATTAATTATAATTAATCGATTAATATTGATTTTAAACAAAAATCCTTTCCATTTCCGATTTTTATCAATATAGATTCAGGGCAAATCATGCATCGATGACAGATAAGATTATCAAATTCAAATTTTCTTCGGGGATCAAAATTTTCCCATCCTATCAATCAATCAATCAATCAATTTTGATTTTTATTATTAAAAACCAAAACAAGCAAACAAACAAACGAAAAAAAATTATCATCATTAATGAGAGAAAAAAAAACTAATTTCTGATTATCGAGATTCGATTGGATTTTGGATTAAAATAGTCGAATGAAAAACGACTGTTTTTGATTATCGATTTTTACAACCTGTTCTTAAACGGTTTTTTTCTCGCTTGCTCATATCCAAATCAATCGATCACATATTAATGATTCAAAACAACAATAAGTGAAACTCATCCTATCTCCAATCACATCATCAAAAAATCAACGGAAGAAAATTTAACACACAAAAAAACATTCAGTTATGACCACCATTACTATCATGATAATTCTTTTAGGCTCGTCAAATGATGACAAAATAAATCAAGAAAAAAAGGTATGGATGTTTTGTTTTTTGTCTGTTGTTATTGTTTGGATTTGATTTTTTTTTCTTGGTATTGATGATTGACCACAGATTATCGGCCCAAAACCGTATAATCTTTTCTTCCATTCTTTTCATTCGTTCAGTCAATCATCAGCATCCATATTCAACCTCAAAACACTTCCTTGTTTATTTGTCGCTGTCATCATCAAAATCATCAAAAACATCAAATAACCAATCTGTCAAATCTCTCAATGAACGAAACATTCAATAATTATAATATCTTAGCCATTATAAACATATTCGAAGATAAAACAAATTAATTGAAAGAAAAAGAGCGGAAGAAGAGAAGGCTGGGTGGTTGGATTTTTTTTTTAATTTCAATTTCAATTTTAAAATGATGAAATGTTTTGATTAATCATATTAACCAAGGACTTGATCTTACATTCTCATGATCGATAATATTTGGCCATCTTGATAATTAGAAAAAACATAATTAAAGGTTATTAATGTTTTTAATTACTTATCATTTATGAATTTTTTTTAATTGAAAAATTTTTTCATTTAAATTTTTATTTCTCAATTATTTTTTTTTACTTAAATCAGATTATAATTATCATATGTACATGAAAGAAAAGAGTGTAGGTGTGTGTATGTGTGTCTTGAAAAGTGTTTGACGAAAAAAAAATTGAATAAATTGATCGACAACAACGGAAATTATCGATCTTTATCGAAAACATAAACAAACACAACAAATGTGTGTTATAAAAATGATTGTGAGTGTGTGTTTGTGTGTGTGGGTGTTTGGATTCAATTTAAAATGGATGGATCCAGTTTTTTTTTTCTTCTTCATATCTCATTGTTTGATTTCCTGATGATGATGATTATGTTGGATAATTAGGTTTGAAGATAAATCCCAAATGATATTTGATTATTATTTGTTAATTTTAAAATTGAATCATTTTTTTTGTTGTTGTTGTTGTTGTAAAAATGTTGAAAATTACAAACGAAAAATATCATGTATAGAGGTGTGTTTGTATATGTGTGTTTGTGAATTAATTAGTTTAATTAATATTTTCTTTTGTTTGATTTGAATATAATTTTCAAAATTGTGGCACATCAGAATCATTCACTTCAATACCACATACATCAGATATAAAATAATCCATACATGCTTGATATAATTGTATTTGGGCAATAATCGATGAATTAGTTGATGTTGGATATTTATCTTCCGATTCAACACGACATTGGCTATGATAATTTAATACCTGATTTTCTAAATCTTCTTGTAAACGTTTATTTTTAATCTCTTTTTCGGCTTTACTAAAATCATAACCACCTTGTTGTGTGAACCAACCTTCTGAACGTAATGCACAAGCGGCAATCTGTTCACGATGTTGTTCAACCGATTCACGAGTAATATTCGTTGGTAATGGTGTTGTTTCCAAACATTTCGTAATCACATTAGCTTTAGCTAATTTTTCCTGTTCACTTGGTTCTAATTCGGGACATTTACCCCAATTGATTTGTGGTGATTGTGGTAGGCCATTATTGATTGCAGTTGTTTGACTATTACCATTATTATTATTATTACCACTATTGTTATTGTTGCCATCTGATCCATTTGTATTTTGTAATTGAATCGGTTTATTATTATGGCCAACATTCGATGATGATGATGATGATGATGATGATCGTGTATTTGATTGATTGATCGATTGTTGTCGTCCAAATTGTTGAGCATGATTTGGCTGTTGTTGTTGATGTTGATGATGATGTAAATGACCAATATTAGCCGAACCGGATGCTGGAATATTACCACCAGTTTGACTATTAGCATCACCATTATTATTAACAGCAGCAGCTGCTGCAACGGCAGCTAATGATTGTTGTGCAGCTAATAATTGCTGCGTTTGTCGTTGTAATTGGGCAAGTTGTTCAAGTAAATCTTGTTGCTGTTCAAGGGTCAATAACGTTGGTTGTTGATGCTGTTGATGTGAATGTTGTTGTTGTTGTTGTTGTTTATTCATAATTGTATTCGATTGTTGTGATGCTGATGCTTGTAACGGAATCGATTGTGTTGATGGTTGTTGCATTGATGAAGCCAGTTTTATCGATGTATTATGTTGTTGATGATGATAATGATTTGGAATGTTAGCATCAACAATGATGAACATCATCATTGCCAATAGTAATGTAAATATTATCGAACGAAACATGATTGAATTTTATTTTGTTGATAATGATTTAGAAGACGACGAATGAAAATAAAAGGGTTAAGATGATGATGATGATGATGGAGTTCGATGAACCTGATTTTAAAAAATTTTCAAATTTATCTTCTTCAAAGATCAAACGATCAATGATCTTTAAGGTTTTGAGAATAAAAATGTAGAATTTTTTTCAAATACAAGAAAAAAATGACGACTAGAGAAAATTTGGTAAAGACATTATGATTTTGTATCAATTTCAGGAATAATCGAATTGAAATGTGAAAAAAATATTGCAGAATTGCGATTGAATTGTCAAAAAATTTCGATGAAGAAAAAAAACAACGAACAATAAATATATTCACATCAACCAATCAAATAGACATTGAATTTTTTGGGATTAAATTAATGAAAATATTAAAAAAAAAACATCAGAATCGATCCGTGATCGAGAAACGACCGCAAAACATTTGTTGCCAAAAATGAAATCGAAAATTTTTCATATAAATTTCAGTCTTTATATACCGAGGCCGATCGGATAGCTAGATCGGATGGATGGTGGTTCGCTCTCTCCTTATGAAGAAAAATTTATTGAAAGATATTATCGTCTTTTTTGGATGGTTGGTTGGTTAGCGGTGGCCACTACTTTATCAACAAACGAAATTAAAAGAAAAAAATTCTCTTTTTTCTTTCTTCTCTTAAATTTATTTCTTCGGGTTTCCCATTTGTTCTCTGTCTTTCTCTTTTTCTATCTATATCTTTTCGTTTGTTTGTTTGTTTGTTTTCTCAACTAACCTGATCAAACAAGCTGAACATTTTTTTTCTGATAAAAATTTTATCATTTTCTTTATTGCAATAATTGTGACATTCATTAATTATCAATTTTTTTCACATACACACCGAAGAGGGGAATGAAAAATCTGATAATAATAAGGATGACCGGGGATCGATTAGAAAATTATAATTAATTGAAAACAAGAAAAATATATCAAACAAACTGCATAAGACAAAAAACAAACTATCATCTATGATCTATGAACCGAACGATGTTATCACAAACTTATGATGATTATTGTAGAAAAACAACAAAATTATTAAGAATTGAGAATTTTCTACATAATTTTTTTTTTGCGTTTTATTTTTTTTAATGATAAAATAATAGAATATAAAAACCCGAACTAAACAAAACTAATCAACAACAAAAAAAAATAAAAATTAAATTTCTTGAAAAAAATTTGATACTTATCATCGAAAAAAAAAGTTAAATAAATAAATGATAATGATGATGATGAACAAACAACAAAGCGCAAGACAAGAAATTTAAAATACATGCCCACACATCATATATATCAATATTATAACATTCAAACATATTTCACGTTAAATATCTATATGTATTCGGATGGGTGGATGTGTGGAGTGTGTCTTGGATGATGAAACAAGGAACAACAACGACGACAAGATAATAATAATCATTGTTTAAATATCCAATGTTTGTTTGTTTGTTGGTTGGTTTTTTGTTTGGTTACTTTTGATGATAAAAAAAAGAAAGAAAGAAACAATCATTATATGAATGAATGAAAAAAAAATGGTTTCAATTTACGATAGCCACGATGTTTGATGATGATAATGATGATGATGATGATGATGATGACGGTGGTGGTTATGGTTATGGTTGGTAAATGGTCAAACAATAATAATAATAATGATTTTAATCATCAACAACATCATTATTATCTTGAAAAATATACTTGGACTTCCGGATGATCGATAAAAGTAATCATTATTGTTTGATACATATTTTTTTTATTTTATTGAAAATTACAACAAATCCGATTATAAAGATTAAATATTTATCTTCTTCCGTCTTAAATTCGTTTCAAATTGATTTCTTTCTTTCTTTCTTTTTTTTGGTGTGTATCGATTGTATCGATTATCTATTTAATTGAATTTTTTATTCCCATTTTAATGATGATGTTGTTTTCAATTTTTCAATTGTTTCGCTAAATTGCATCGATATCATTTGAAACAAACAAACAAAAACAAAAACAAAACAAAAATCATCGCAGATTCGTGTTTGTTTCGGAAAATTGTTTCCGTTTTTTTTAAAAATTTCTTTCTAAATCGATAATTTGGTCAGATTTTTTTTTTGGATATTGGTTTGATTTATAAACGTTGTTGTTAGCCAAAATTCAATTGAAATACAAAACAAAAACAAAATGACAATCAAAATGAAAGTTTGTTGTTTGTTTTTTTTTTTGGTCAAAATCATGACAGGTGACATTTCACTAGATTGACCGCAATGAAAAAAAAAATAAATTTCAAATTTTGTTTTTTAAACTTTTAAATGTGTGACTTCCTTAATGATGATGATTATTATTTTGTTTTTGTTTTTGTTTTGAAATGAAACAAAAGAAATGATCATTTTTTTTTTGTTTTGTTTCAAAAGTAATAAACTTCCTGGAAAAGAAATTTTGTTTCGAAAATATTTTTCATATTGATTGGATTTGACCATATATCGAACAACACACACACACCCCGAATTGATATGGTCAAACCAAATGGATCAAATGTATATACCAAAAATGGTGAGAAGAAAACTTATCTATTTTTGTTTTAGTTTCTTGCTTCACTTGACTGAAAATTTGAAACAAATTTTGAAGAAAAAATAAAATGGTCACTATGATAATAAATGAATGGCAATTTTGACCCATATTTGACGTTGAAAAGAAACGAATGAAAATTATGATTGTCGTATTTAAACAAACATTTAAACAAAGATAAGATTACTAACCAACCAGCAACAAAAAAAAGTAATTTGATATTTTCTGTTTTGAAACAAAAAAACAATATATCTTTCTTTCTTTCATTTCTCTTATTTGCTGACATTTTGGATAAGAATTAATCGATAAGAATTTAATGATGATGATATTTGTCTTTATATATCCAAATATTGTCAATAATAATAAAAAACCAATTTAGTTATTTTGAATGATAAAACCATTCATTCATTCATTCATATCATTTCATTTCATTTATCAAATGATGATATTTCAGGTTAGCAAAATAAAAATAAATTCAAATTCATCATGATGATAATGGCCTTAAATGTAAATGCATGGCTAAATGTGGTGGTTTTTTTTTACTTTTTTTTCGACAAAATAACCTGAGATGTAACTGTTAATTTTTCAAAAAAAAATATGACCATTTTTTTTTGTTTTTCGTTTTGTTTCTTAAACGCATCATTATTTGAATTGTGCTTTATTGAGTGATGATGATGATAATGTGTGATGGATGAATCTTTCCAAAAATACAAATGACACAAAATTTTACAAAAGATTGTCTTTGAATCAAGACCAAAATATTGTTGCTTGTTTTTTTTTTCTTTCTTTCAAAAAAAATCTATCTTTACCTATCTTGTTGACGATAATAATGATGATGATGTTGATTATGTTGACCAGACTAAGAAAAGAAAAAAAAAGAAGGTGAAAATTTAGGTCATTGAACTAACTTTAAATTATATTCATGATGATGATGATGATGATTATGTGATTAGACTTAAATTCGCTTTTTTTCTAATCTCTTTTCAAATTACTCTGAGAACGAGAGTAATTTTGAGAGAGAGAGAGAGAGAGAGAGAGAGAGAGAGAGAGAGAGAGAG